TGCACATGAGCTTTTAATATGATGAGAATCTCAACAACCTCGGCTCACTTTTCTTATGAACCAATCTAAACAACTTGCTCACCAAGACTAATTGGACTTAACCAGTCTCCAGTAGATTCAAATTCTAAGCCAGCTTAATCAAACTCTGATTTAGCTCAAGACTATTTGTTCTTTCTCACATTTCCAATTAACAATTTTTTTTTTATCATGCATTTGTGATTTATTAAAAGCTTTTTCTTTTAGTTTTTCACCTCCCGCTTTTAAAAGATATAGATTTAGTGTGCCTTTTTTATCAGCTCTTTAAATGATTGAATGACGTCCGTGATTGAAGATTCTCTTTGTAGTTTTTTCTTTCACATTAACGTTATATATATTATAGTACTATAATGCTAGTGATGGTACTCGTCTTCACTCTTCAGAATAGGATTTCAAATATAATGTAAAAAAGTCAATAGCTACGTACTAATTCAAGCTAAATCTTGCATGTGATCGGTAAAATTCAAACGATAATTTGTTTTCGACAGTTTCACACGGTTTCAGATAACAAAATTGCAAATTTACTTCCTAAAAAGGTGGTAAACGTAAACTTATTTTTTTTTCAATGTATTTATAGAATTTTAATAAGTTTACATTATTGTTATTGTTAGTGATATTTACTATTTAGATTTCTAAATTCCATCGATAAATTTATAATAGAAAAAATAAAAATAAATACATTCATTTTAAGATATTTGTTGATGATATCGCAAACTACAATCTAATTTTAATTTCTATTTCAAATTTTAATTATCCTTTATTTTTGTCAATAACATCAATGTACGAAATTAATATGGACAATAGACATTGAATTGACGACATTTGCATAAATAACTAGATTATAGGTTTCGATCAATACGATTCAAAATTATTAGAGCTCTAAACCTACTTTGTATGATAAAAAAAACATGAAATAAAACTGCCATAGTTTCGTCCTTCCTATATAATAACGGAGAAGATATGAAATAAAGTTATGGACGCGATTACAAGGTGGCGGGTATGATTTTGGCTGGTAGTACAAACAGTGTAACCCGTGAAGTACTCTGTCTCTTTTAGGATTAAAAAAAAACTAGAAAAAGAGAGAAATGGATAATGTGACGTTATGAATGAATCTCATGCATGCATGTGACTCCACCATTCGTCTCTTTGTGTTCATCTTACAAAGAGTACTCATGAGTATTAGTCGTAAGGACACGTCAATCCATCACCAGTAGCAATAGCAAAAAATTGGACACAAGAAGACTATCATAAGTTTCAAAGAATAAGAAGACTATAATCGTTTTGTTATCTTTTAAATTCTTAACAAAAAAGGTTATGGTTACATATGTAACATTTATATTATTGATTATCAAAATACTTATGTTAAACATATAATTTCAGTTAGAAAAAGTAAATATTAGTACGTATGCCGGTCCTAAGATTTCGGGGGCTCTAAGCAAAAAAAAAATTGAGGTTTTTAGATCGATATTTTAAAAAGATAACAAATGTTAAAATTTTAAAAATTTAGGAGTTTATTTGTACAAACAAAAAATAAAAAAGGGACCTATTTCTATAAAACAAGACATATTAGGATCTGTTTCTGCAAAAATAAATAAACTATAGACTTTTTTATTCATAAAAATTCAGAAATTTTGGGGTCCAAAGCCCATACTTATGCTCAGGCCCGGCCCTGCGAACAAGTTATTCAAAATATTTATTCAAAATATTTATGTGTACTTATATAGTGAAGAAGTAAGTGACTGCGAACAAGTTATTCAAAATATTTATTCAAAATATTTATATATACTTATATAGTGAAGAAGTAAGTGACAACTCTCGCGAGAGTTTTATCCAAAGACAACAAAATTAGATAGCTCACACGAGTAATTTGAGATAATATGGGTAAATTTGTCGAATGAATAAAAAAAAATATAATCTAAAAACTAATTAATTGGTTAGAAAGAGAGATGGAGAGAAAGTGTAGAAATTGGTTAATTATAGTTTCTTTTGTTGCTGATATTTAACAATTATAAAAAATATTTGTTGGCTTG